CACTCGCACAGGCCCCGCCCCCCTGCGTCACTGCGCACCCCGGGCGCCCCGCCCCTCCCCCGGGCGCTCCGCCCCCCTGGCCTGGCCCGGGCCGCCGCTCTGCTGCGCGGGACTTGTAGGCGGCGGGGCGCGGGGATGGAAACGATGCGATTTGCACGATCATTTCAACCCGTGGACCATCGAGAATAGTGTAAAAGTTAAAAATGCACCAGAGGAAAACAAAACTCCCCAACTCTTGGTTCAGAGGCAACACTCGTATTAAACCAGCTAGAAAACAGCAAAGAGATTCCCTTTCTTGGCCAGCTTTGAGACCCTGCGCACCCTTCTTCAGGCTGAGGGGGCATCAAAGGTTGTCCATGTCCCCTTTGGTTTTCCCTCAGCCTGAAGAAGGGCACACATGCCCCAAAGCTTGCAAAGAAAGATCCATGTTTCAGGGGTGTTGGTCGAAAGGACATAGGCAGACAAGGGTCTTTGGGTTGAGCTAATAATATCGGATTTACCCAAAGAACCTTTGTCTGCAAAGAAGGACCATTTTCTTGCTATTTTCTGTCTGGTCTAGTACAATATCACCTCTGAACCTGGAGCAGTGCAAGTGGCTGCAGCAGCTGTGAGGGAGAAGTGGGGCTGGGGCAGGCCCTGAGGGCACAGCAGAGCTGCAAGCAGCTTATGGGGGTGGGGCACATCCTGAGCGGGGGTGGGGGGCACGTGCCCCCAGATCTGCATGCTGGCTGCTGCTGTGGGCTGGGCCTAGGACTGCGCCATGCTCTTCACAGCAGGGGATTGGGCTGGGCTGGGCTGGGCTGTGCTCGAACCAGGCAGTGGCGGCGCTGGGAGCAGAGCTACAGGGGGGCGCTGCAGGCACCCAAAAATTCACTGCTTCCCAGCCCCCTCCCCGCCCTGCGCAGCTCCCAGGATGGGGGAAGGGGAAGGCAGGGTAGATCTTGGGTTGCTTTTTAATTCAAAAAGTGATCTACTTAAAAAGGTTGGAGACCGCTGGTCTAGAGGCAAAAGGAAGCAAAATAAAATAACTTGTTTGCAGTTATCTAGTTGGTCTAATAAAAGATATCACCTCTGCCATAAGTTCTGATTCCATCATTTTTGAGGCAGCTGATTGATGCGTCTATGCAAAACCCGTCACTCTCAGGGAGTCAAACTGACTTTTGCATTGGCTGTCAGCTCTTTCTGATGACTGTTTGCCTCCAAATAAAGAAATGCTTCTACTTGGATGACCCAGTTCTCACTCACTCACTCACTGGCAACTTGCAGTGAGCAATATAAAGTAAGGAAGAAGATTTACTTGCAAATTTATTTGCATATTTTTCAATGGTCAATAGTTTTCAACAAAGACGATAATTTTGAGCTTCCAATACAATAATTTAATGGTTTCAATTATTTCCTGGGGGGGTGGGAGGGTGTGGAGCTGCGGGTGCTGGCCTCTGACTGTGGGTATTAAAATAAAACAAAAATCCTTGCTGGGTTATTATTATTTCTCCCCAAAGGCACCTTGAGCCCGACCAGGGGTGCCTGGAGGCTGGAAACACAGTGATCACAGCAGAGGGAAGGTGCATGCTGGTTCCATGAGCTTCCCACCAGAAGCCTGGAAACACCCCCCTCTTCCTTCCACCACAGCCCCGCATCTTCCTCCCCACTGCCCCAATGACTTTGATTCCCAAGTAGCTAGCTGTAGGGTCTCCAATCCATGTCTCTTCTCTTGCACTTTGATCTGCTCCACTCCAATACTGAGGACAGAAACAAGGCATTGTTTTAAGGGATGATTTTTGCTGTGGCGGGAGCACACCTGGCGTTCTGGTCCTGCAAGCCATTTAGCAACAGCTTGTTTTATCAATGACTGCAGGCAGTGAGGGGGCGGATGCTTTCCAGTTAGCCCCATGCAACAGAAAGGCCTGAGTCAGAGCTGGTATCAATCCATAATATGGATCCACTCACCCAGAGATTGCTGTCACCATATCTGTCCTCTCACTGCTTGCCAGCGCAGTGTGGAACAGCCATTTGTACTAACACACAGCCCTGTAAATCTGTCGATATGATCATCAACAT